GAGAGAGAGAGAGAGAGATGCAGAGCATTTCAACACCCAATTGTTCACAATAATATAGCACAGAGTTTTTTCATACGGCAAGATATAGCCTGCATATGACATAACATGACATGCATCATTGAGACATTCAGATTGCAACTTTGGTGGTTATTCTAAGCCCTTTGGTGACTTTGTCAAGTAGGGCTGATAGCTCATCAAAATTAACAGGATGAGAATTCCAACTTCCAACTTCCAACAGAAGGTTGGCCGCTATTTAGCAGAGTAGCCACTGTTCAGTGTCAAAATGTGAGTTGAATTTCCGACATATTCAAAATACACAAAAATAAAATGAGGCTCTAATTTATCTCAGAATTATTTATTTTTTATAGCCAAGACAAAGCTCAATAGTTAATACCAGCATCCTGAAAATACAACTCTGACCAAAAGACACAGTACATCAGAATGTAACTTGAGCCAAGGTAGGGAATCTCATTGATGCTCAACTATTGATTTTTTCTCCTTTGTAAGTATGTGATGAAGCCTATAACCTACAGCATAAGGATAAGAAAATATGGACTCTCCATAAAAAATGCTACAAGATAATTCCTAGGGCTATAAATATGGTGCTTTTTCCTTTTTTCCCTTTACTTTTTTTTTTGAGATCCATGATAACCAAGGTGAAGATGATGGATCCACATAAGTTTTGGGTCCTCAATCCATGTCCATGGTGGATTCTCCCGTAGCCTAGCAGCACAAAAGACTTTCCCTTATAATCAGAATATTCCCTACCAGATATTTAATACATATAATATGAAGTCCAATAAGTAAGCAAAATACCATTGCAAAGTCATAGTAGAAAAATAGTACCCCTTGGTAGAAGCCAACAGCAACTCCATAGTACACCATCATAATCTGGTTGCACCTTTCATAAATGTGAGCAAGCGGAAGATAAGAAATGTGACTGCACAAAAAAAGTGTTGGATATGATGGTAAACAACTCATTAGAAAACCGACAAGAATCAACTAAACAATCTCTATAGAAATTGGATTTAGACCCAAAAAAAAAGAAATACAAAGAACTCACACATCTGAGGGAGAAAATCTAACAGCAAGAGCTGAACCGGCAACATTTGCGATCAAGTTTCCATGAGTTAATACAGCTCCCTTTACAAAGAGAAACCAAAAAAGTCCTAAATAACTTTGATGCCATATGTGACTGGAGAAATTACTAGTTGAAAACGAATTTCGATATAGTAGAAAAATCAAATTTACTACACAAACAACCGAATACCTTTGGTGTACCCGTCGTACCACTTGTGTAGCAGATGGTTGCAACATCTTCAGGTTTTGGAGGCTCAAAGGGCTGAATATTACAGCCACCCTGCAATAACAATGGAAAACAAGGACCATGGATTACATTAGATCAAGAATATATTGCATACATCTTTGTTTACAAGTTATATCAAACTTTCAACTGATAAAGAAATGTCCGCGACTGAGTGTTGCAAGTTCAATTATTGACATCTGCCATAGATAACTAGTTTCTCACTATCAAAAATCAGTATCTGATAATTAAATGGAAAACATCTGTGTTACATTTAAGGGACAACTACAAAAGAATTGGTGTGAGCCACTCAATTCAGCAGACTAGATTACTCGAGCCATTATTGGCCCTATTCAAGTACATCAGCAACTCAACCTCCCACAGTGATCTTTGCTTCTGGCAACAGAACTGGTTCTGTGAAGACTTCCCTAAATAGTACTACTAACATATCGCAAACTGAAATCCAGATAGCGCCATTTTCATTACAGGGATTCCGAAAAATTGTAGCATTAAAATAATTACAAATAATCAAAGCTAAATGAATTTGGCAAACCAAAATAGCAAAACCTTGGCACCACAGTGGTGACACACCCAGGAGTGTCCGGATGAACATGTCCTCATCCGATGCCAAGTTTAGTATCTGTATTGCTCAGTTGATAGGGAGCAATGAACCAATAACCTTTCTCAATTAATCTTTACATCAACATAATGTTCCTAATTTTGATATTCTGATTTAAAACGAGACAATGCAACAAAGTTCATGAATTTCAAGGGTCATTTGCTACAAGAGAAACATATTCTTCCGTAATTTTGTCCATAGTTGGCTCCCAATAATAAACACAAGAAAGAATACAAGTACCTGTTGGACTAATTTTAAGTATGAGATGATCTGAACCCCTGTTGTTGAAGGGAGTGAAGGAATGTTTTCATCTACTCCTCCAACCACCTTCGTGACAAAGACACAAAAAAGAAAGACAATAAAGAAGGGATGCTAAAGCTTTCATTTAGCTTACATTAAACTATTAAAGTTTTGAACTGCAAAATTATTTACTTCCATACCACGATAAGACGAACAGAAGGAATCTCTGACAAGAAGCTCATTAACTGCCAATTTCCAAGAAGCAGATATGAGAAACTATATTTACTCTTTAATTACATAAAGATGCATTAAATTCAAAACGTGGATATAAAAGTTCTCTAAGCAGTAATTTATGTAGAAGAATCGATACAAGTCATTTACAATTTACGTTTCTAGCAGCACAACGCAACAAGAACAAAGATCCCAAACCATATCAAAAATAACCCTGAGATCAAATTCAAGGTTGTGAAAGCACATGAAAATTGCCACTATCTTAGAATGAAAACCATAAGAAAGAGAGGACGACATTAGAAAATGACAGAACTCCAACTCGCTCCATTCATGGTTCCAGAAAAGAACTCTTTGTCCTAGTATGGTAGGTGATGAGAACACACAACGAAAAGCCCACAAAAGTACAACCCATTCAAATTCTCCAACAACCGAGATAAGATAGCAAGAGGTCACATTAGTAAGAGGAACCAGTGTCACATCCATCCAGATCAGAGCCATAAATTATATCACCCTAGAAAAACCCTAATGTTAAGGCCTTCTGCCCAGCTATATGAAACACCACAAATAAAGTATTGCATGATAAAGAAGTCAAAATCTTATTTCTGAGGACTCGAGAAACCTATTAGATTGAATACCTTGAAGCATATGACATTCTGGGTTTGTGTTCCTAGCCAATGTCGTCAAAGCTGGCAATGCGCTAGGCGGCCTACCCAGCTTAAACAGGACCTAGGCCATATGTGACCTGCAGACTGGGTTCGGGCTTGAAGTTTCAGGCCACTATTTTTATCATGATGGGCCCAGGGTGGGCAGTTCATGGCTCAGCAAGGCTCAGCCAAGTATAACAGAAAAGCCTGGTCCCAACCTCGCCCTGCCAGACCCTCCCAACAGGCAGGGCCCATGCCTGGCCAGTTGCAAGCCTAGATGTCTTCTCTATTCCTAGAGATCAAAAAAGAAATTTACTTACCATTCTTTATATTTTAAAAATTCCACAATTTCATGGACCCCCTTTGTGAATATTTGAGAAAACTCTAAGCCAAGGTTGAGCACAACTATTATAGACTAATCTCTCTTAGAATTCAACATACTGTGCATCAATTTGTTATTCATTTCTCTAATCAAGTAGTATTTACATTGGCCCCAGTCCAAAAACACTGACCAGGGAGAATAGAATGTTGCTAATAAAGGGCCAAAACTTCAGGAAAAGAAGAAAAAACAAAAAATATCCCATCCAAGGGCCCCACTGGCCTTGGCCCTGGCCTAGCCCTCATCCCCGTAGGGCCGGGCCGACACTTGCCCTGGCGAGGCCCTCAGGCCATAGTTTGTGGCCCATCCCTACTTTTTTAGGGCGGGGCCAACCAGGGCCCAGCCAGGCCACCCCGCCCATTGCCAGCCCTATCCACTATGCTTAGATAACATGGCAATTGGCAATTAACCATCAACACCCACATTTAAGTCAAGGGTTTAAAGCATCATTATGTGGATCAGACCGGCTGTCAAACTAAGAAGGTGACTGGTCTAGTCAAAATCGGTCCAACCAGGGACAATAGAATGTATAGCTAATAAAGGGTCTTTGAACAAAACTCCAGAAATTGGTTGTTAACCCATCACCACCGACCCTTCAAGCGAAGGATTTAAAGCAGCATTATGAGAATCAAATTGGCCACCAAACTAACAAGGGGACTGATCTATCAAAACCGGTCAGACCATCAGTCAAACCGATTGGACCGGATTTAAAAAATATAAAGAAAAATGTGAGTAATAGTTAAAAAAATTTAATTTAAAAAAAATGCCCAACTGGTCTTAACCAGTTAAAACTGACTAGCAAGATCGGCTAAACCGATTAAATATTGGTTTTGACTAGTTTTTTGACCAAACCTGATTTTTACTTTGGACCAAACCGACCAAGGCATCGGTCAAGTCAATGACCCAACCATTCAAAATCGCTGGTCCGGTCCAGTCTTGATAACTGTGGTTTAAAGTTGAGTTTAGGATTTTGTTAAGTTGCTTGTCTTCCTTGTCATTCCTTCAAGTACAAGAGCAGCAGTTTTTATCTTTATCCCAAGCATCAGCCTCAAAACAAAGCCAACATAAACTTGGCACCTTCTAACAAAATCACCTTTTCTAGCTGATTCCTATAAATCCTTCAATGAAACTCCTCACCTTTTCTAGCTGATTCCTATAAATCCTTCAATGAAACTCCTCACCTTTTCTAGCTGATTCCTATAAATCCTTCAATGAAACTCCTCAACTAGTATTATAATAGCATTAATGGCTCACAAGTGAGCCTGATCTACGATTCCTCTGCTCCAAAATATCAAAATCCTCCTCCCTCTCATATCTCCTTCTCACCACTTCCCTTCACTCTTTAGGCATCAGGACAATCCTCACAATATTGGGATGTTAATTCAAACCTTACCTATACCCTGCAACAATTATTATACCTAGACACTTCCATTGACAAAGATGGAGGCCCTTCCATGCATACCTCACTACGCAACACAAAAACACTCCACATAATTTCTTGTGGGGATCCTAAATGGGGGCATAAAAAAAAAGCACCAAATTTTCAAAAAAAAAAAGGAACTTTGCCTTCCTATCCTTGTCTCTTCCCAGCACCAAGATCTACAATGGCCTGTCGACATTCCTACAGACGTAGACTAATAGTTCTCCTAATCACTCTTGTCAATTACCCCACCCATCGGTCATAATTCCCCTTAAATAAGTTTTGCCAAAGTTATCGTTTTAACCCGATGCCCTTCGAAAACAACTCAGGACAAACTATTACCCCAAGGTCTGATCAATAATGCACCATCAAAAGCCATGGTATAAGTGCAGTTCCACCAATAGCTCCCACCAGCAATCTCCAGTGTTGCTCCCACAAACAACCTGCAGTGTTTTCTATGGTCCTACCTATTGCTCTCGTCAACCATACGCACTTTTGTAATCCATATTATCGGTTCTGGTCAAAATATCACACTGACAATTAGTAGTTTTAAGTGCACTATGCATCAATAGTTGGGTGTTCTCAATAGATTCCCAAGTCAAATATATTCCTATTCAGAAATCCATATCAACTGTTATGCTCTGTTTATTCCTATTCAGAAATCCATATCAACTGTTATGCTCTGCTTTCTTTCCTTCCTATACAATGATCAAACACTGCATGTTTGACAATTAAGATAGAGTGTGCATACGATGCCCTGCAGGAGCATATTGTACATTTGCTCCCTCACCACTTACGAGAATTTTTTTCATCTGAAACTTTTAGGTCCATTTTAGAATCACTACATGAGTTTTCAGAAAGAAGAAAAGGACATTAAGTTCTTATACAACTAGATCTGACAGTCCAATAATTGGACAGTCTGCGTTCAATCCTAGGGCATGAGTTTTTTTCAGGAACTTCTAGCATTAGCAGTCATTTTTTTAAAGTTGGTTGCTATGTTAAGTAGGTCACATCCCCAAAATTCGGGGACCTAAAAATACCCCTAGCTTGGGTTTTCTCCAAGGAAGCATGTACATTTTTCTCCTGCAGGGGCATAAAATTTTTCCAGATCAACATATGCTTCATTTTTTACCATCACTTAATATGTTTAAGCCATCCATCCTAGGAATGAAAGGATTACATGACAACCACTCCTACAATAACATATGCCGTTAGAATAATCTTCTAATAAAAGCATGTCCATGCAACATATGTCATACAAAGGACGATGAAATCAAGAAACGTACTTACAATATTCAACGTTTGGGGCAGGCAAAAGATAGCTTCTACACCAGCATGGTTAACAATATAGTTAACAGCATCTGGACCTGCATAATAGAAGACCAAACAATGTTCATATATCACAGGCAGATGGAAGAAGGAAGTCATTCCAAATAAGCTAATTGCATACCAAGAGTATCATATAAAGGAACAGAGACGAAAGAATATGCGGAGCAAGCATGATCGACAATAATCCACTCGGGCCTGTTGATAAAGTACAGTCCAATACGTGCTCCCTGTCTTAAGAAAAGACCAGAATAAACACATCCATAATAGTAAGCCTGAAGCATAATTCAGGATAAGGGTAACCTGTGAATATCTACTTCAGAATGTAAGAATATAGATGTCAATATTTTCTCAAGAAAGCACACAAGCAATGGATTAGCAAGTTGCATAACCAATAGATCTACAAAATTACTTCAGGATCTCAACTATCATTGTTGCAAGAAAACAAAATTCATGAATCAAACAAATATAATATGTTTATTATCTATACAACCTACCTTTAATATCTCATGATGTCTCAACCCAGACCCTACAGCTGTGCGTGCAGTTTCTGCTTCTCCATACGTCATCCATTTGTAACTTTTGAAAATACAAGTAAAAATATGTTTGTTTTAGGTCCAAATCATTTTCATCCAAAAAAAAAAGTTCACAAACATGAAAAAAAACATACTCGCCAACTGTTCCATCGACACGTATTCTTGAACCCAGATATTTGAAATCCTGAAAACTTTTGGTCGCATGCCTGAATCATGAATGTCAGGGGCAAACTATCAACTTTCTGACGCACTAATCTGAGAAAGTGTTAAATATTCTAGAACCAAGAGAGAGAGCAATTCCAAAGCTAATTTGGGCAAGATATAGTTGGTTATTACTACCAGTTTAAGACGTAAAAGCATACATAAAATTATCATGCAAAGTTCCAATATCAGGATGATCTGGAAATCTTCCCACAAGTTTCAATGGGGATCGTGCTGATCTGCAAGGTCATAATGTGGTTCAATCAGCATATGAAAGAAGAATGTATGCCCATGGAAAAAACCAAGGTCCAGTGGGTCATCGCCATAATGGAAGGAGATGGCTCTGATGAGTCCTACTCTCCACCCATCACCATCCATCATTTCAATGGATGGCGATGACCCCATTGAGAACGGTTCTTTCTAAGTCCATTAAAATAAGTGTATACTTCACCATTTCGGAATATCCCGCAAATTTCCTGTACGGGAAAATAAGAGAATCTCTTACCTGTAGACATTCCACTTTCCTGTTTGCAGTTTTTCAGGAAGAACCACACTATAGCCCTGCCCTGTAAAGAAACCAAGTAAGACCAAAGTAAGTAATCCAAACATTCAAAGGCAAAATAGAATTAGAGAAGTGTGCAAACTAAGCCATTGTGATTGTATAAATGATAGTCATGCCATAAAGACTGATAGCTCTCCAGCCAGATCAAACATAACAGCATTGTAGACCCCAAAATTCAAGAAAAAACATGTAGCCAAATAAGCAATACTGTGTGAGAAATTTAAGAACCTGATTTGCAGTCATTTCTAGTGGTCTAGACTCTAGAAACAACATACCTATAAGTCACAATGTGGGGCGGTCAAGAAACAACATACCTATAGGATGAGTGTAGCTGAGATGAAGATGATGAGATGGATGTGTGGCAAGACAAGAAGGGATAAAATTGGAAATGAATACATTAGGGAAAACTAAGGTGTGACTCCAATAGGCAATAAGATGAGAGAAAGTAGACTTACATGGGCTGGACATGTGCAACAAAGATCCGGTAAAGCACTTATTAGGAGGTGTGAGTTAGTTCAAATGGAAGGCTGAAAAAGGGCAAGGGTAGGCCCAAAAGGACATGGTTGGAAGTAATGGAAAAAAAATAAGACGTGGCCCTTGATAGAGCAAAATGGAAGACCGGGATTCGTGTAGCCGACCCCAAATAGTTGGAAAAAGGCTCTGATGATGATGATAATGATTTGGAGTCATTTTTAGAACCTAACAAAAGCAAATGTCGGCCATGGAAACAGAAAAAGTAGACAGTCTCTCTAGAATAACCCAATCTTCTTTTCTTTTGCAATTTGTTATTCACAAATACATAAGTGGGTCGAGAATCAAGGTTTGTCGTTGGTTGTAAATGTATCAATAACCATGATTGGGGTTAAACTAAGTATATTATCTGATTGTCTAAGACAACTTATTGTAAACTCAAAGGGAAAAATCACCTCCAATCAATTTACAGTAGGAGAGAGTGGTACTTCAGAAATTGATTAATATCCCAAGCAAATCTAAAAACCGATTTTAACTGACATCTGAGCCTTTCGAGATAAGTAGCTTCAATATCCACTTTTCTATGTTCACCGCTTCAAACTAAATGAAGAAAAATCATTACAAGAACACCACATAGAGCTTCTCGTAAAGATGTTTAGTCATTTTCAAACCCGTATAGCAATCGGTACGGCTGGCCTATGATGATTATTGAGGCTTCTAGATAATCAAGAGCATATCTAAAAGACGAAAATAACCAGGTGAGGTCAAGGGTATGATATGTTAATGACAGATTTCGGACACGATTGTAGGTTGATATTTTTCCAATAGGTTCTAAGATGATTCTTGAAACCACTAAGAGAGGACGAATCTCTTATAAATTTAGGCATTACCATATTAGCAAGTTCACTCATACCTAATTCCTTGAACAGACCAACATAATTCTCAAATAAGAGAACATATGGACCAAAAAATTCTCAAAGATAAGAATCAAATCTAGAATCCGATTCTCCAATGCCGTTGTCACAAATTCGCCCATAAAACTATGTGTCCTAGAGAGATTCTAACTGTAGCGGATGAGCCAATATAGGAAAACAAATAACTTAATGGCTTGGCGCCCAACTCAGAGAGAGAGAGAAAGAGAGAGCATGGGAAATGATACAACAATTTGCAAGCAGTGCAACAAAATCTGAATACTCAAATCAGCTCATCAGAGAGTAGAGAAACACATATTAGCAGAGTGCAGCTCATTAACAAAGCAAACCGCCAGAAAAAGCAACTAAAAAAGAAAAAAAATGACAATTAGCATAAATGGCTTAATCAGATCGCAGAATCATCCAGTTGAACAGGAATCTTGTGAGACATAGCAAGGAGGGAGAGAGAGAGAGAGAGAGAGAGAGAGAGAGAGAGAGAGAGAGAGAGAGAATAGAGAGAAGAGAGCGTAGAGAGAAAGAGCGCAGAGGGATACAATAAGAATGCACTGAAGGAATACGAGAAGCAACCAAGAGAGAGAACCAGAAATGCATGCCCTGAGAGATAAATAGAGAGGGGAAACCAGGAACGCATGCCAGGAGAGATATACAGAGAGAGGAAACTAGAAATCTATACCAGAAGAGATAGATAAATAGAGGGGAAACCAGGAACGCATGCCAAGAGAGATATACAGACAGAGAGGAAACCAAAAATCTATACCAGAAGAGAGAGAGCTCACCGGAAACAAATTCTCCGTCAGTTTGGTTGGTCGTGAGAAGCGTTTGTGGATCGGAGACATGAGAATGCAGATGCCCACGGATTGCCTCCAGACGTCTCAGTGCGGTGGAATCCATTCCACTTCTCTCTCTAGGAAGATGTCGATCAGAATGAAGACGATCTTTCCTCTTCAGCCTCTAGCAAGAGAACCAACTACAAGCAAGAAGGCACGCTCTCCAACAAACGCAAGCATCAGGCTTACACCAGCACCGTTAAATTTCTGCTAAAGATAGAGCTCTCTCTCCTCTCTCTCTAAATTCTGCACGTCTCTCTCCTCTCTCTCTCCTCTCTCTTCCTAAATTCTACACGTCTCCCTCCTCTCTCTCTCTCTATTTTTGCTTCCTTTTTCGCCTGTGTTTGTTTACGGGCAAAACCTCATTTTTGGCAATTTTTCAGTGAAATCCATTTCCCACGTTATAAATCCCGTAATTCCGTTGCTTATATTTTCCGTAGTTAAAATGGTAAAGTTTGACTACTAATGTATTAGGAATACCGTCATCTTCTTTGATAATCACCTTTTAATCTTTTAATATTAATCTCCATGAGAATTCTCTTTCTCACATGTAACGTTTGCGTACTGGAAATCAGAGAATCAGTAATTTAATCCCTTCGCTATTATTTGTTCCTTTCATTGCTATCACGAATTCATTCCACTTCGAGTGACATGATATGTCAACAGGGAAAACATTCACCGAGAGGATCGCCTTGTGCTTTATGAAAATAAAGAAAAAGCATCGCCTTGAATCCTCATCTCAAACGCATTTTAGGCCTTGAAAATTTTCATGATAGTTCTAAAATACATTTTGAACACTTACTATAAAATTTAAAGTTCAAAAAAGGTACAGTGGATCTAGAAACACTTATTTTTATGGTGAAATAGATGGTTCAGATAACAAGTTGCAAAATAGATGGTTTAGATAACATTTTTTTTATTTGAAGTTTTAGAATCCGTTTTAGAGTCGGTAGTTTTGCATTGTAAATGGGTAGAGTTGGGTCCAAATCAACCCCTACCTACTAATTTAATAGGCTGCTAATCCTATTACATTAGGAGTCAAACTCAACATCAAGCGTCCATCTCATAAATGGATGCAAGAGGACCCAACAAAAAAAATCAAAACAAATGGCCTACAATTTTTATTTAAAAGTATCATTTTAAAAATTATTTGTTTTTGCAATTAAAAATCCCCTCGAATGGATTCCTTGTCAGTGCAGGATAGATGGATAAGATGGCAGGACCCACAACATGACCTCCATCTTTACCAGAGGGTCCCAAGTTAACATTCATAACAAAAAGTACCGATACACCCAAAAGTACAATGTGCTCCCCACATGAATTTAGGAAAAAGTTTAGATAAGTGCGGGGGTCTAAATAATTAAAGCTTCAAAATTTCACTAGAAGATGTTGTTTTGATGCTAAAAAATACTCAAATTGATCATCTCCACATCAAGATACATAAACATAAGAAAAAAATAGATTTCAAGTTTTGGAAATATTGCATCTTGTAATGCATTTTTTGACCATCAATTTTCAAGTTTTCATAAATCTGCTTGATCTACACTATTTTTAAGCTTTTATTTTTATAATTAGAGATGAAAATATGTTTTAAGGCTATCAGAAAAAATTTTAATATTAAAATTATATTTCTCGATACTATTTGAATGCGCGATTTACTTGGTTGTTCAAAACCGTGGCCTTATACAAACCGCACCCATGATCTTTTGGCTTAAAGTTCGTCCATGTTGAATGATAAGGAAATTTATTTTCAGTTATGTTGGGAAAGGGAATATGACCTCCCCTCTTGTTTTTGACAGGCAAAAAGAGTAGTCTCCTTTTTGGTCTCCAGGCATGAAAGTGTGTTAAAGAGTCTTCTTTTTGGAGTTAAATAGCCCTTTCTTACTTTTTCTCTCTATCTATTTTTCTTTTTCTTCTTTTTGAGTTAAATAGTCCTTTTACCCTTTTTCCTCTATCTATTTTTTGGTTTTTTAGTGTTACGTTGGTATTTTCCACTTTTTAGCCACCTTTAATTTAAATGAGAGCGGCAATGAGAAAGCATCTTTTTGAAATGGCCAAAATTGGGCTTGGTCACTTGAAAACAAAGCTTTTGACATTTGGACTTTTTAAGTTGCAAAAAGTTTATATAGAGCCGAGGCTCTAAACAATCAAATTTGAACTTATGTAAAAAATTTCACTAGAATAGGTTGTTTTGATGCCCGAGTATCCTCAAATTGATCATCTCAACATCGAGATGCATGTACATGAGAAAAAAATAGATTTCAAGTTTTGGAAATAGTGTATTTTGTAATACATTTTTGAACCGTCAATTTTCAAGATTTTCAAGTTTTCATTGATCTATCAATCTACACAATTTTTGAAGCTTTAAACTTTATAAATAAAGATGAAAATATATTTTAAGGCAATCACAAATATTGAAACTGTATTTATCGACAGTATTTGAAGGTAGGCTCTAATTTGATTGTTTAGTGCCTAGGCTCTATACAAACCGCACCGTTTAAAGTTTCGGATAAACTACATTTTGAGATTGGGAGAAGAAGATTCGGTGCAATATTGCCTCTAATAAGATGAAATGGGGTGTGAAAGTTTTGGATTGACAACAAATTTTTATTGAAATTTTCGGATAATCCACCTTTATGGCCTCTTTGTAGCCATTACAAAATGAAGAAAATATTTTATACGAGGTTGCAACCTTTAGGAAAAGTAAGATTTACCTCAAAAACTTGGTAGAAAAGATTGTTTCGGAGTTGATCGATCATCTTGACATCGAGTTGACCTCGAGATGTATGAAAATAAAGAAAAAAATGAATTGCATGTCCTAAACATAATGCATTTTGTAACAAGTTATTTATTTTCAAGATTTTCAAGTATTTATAGATATATTCAGTCTGCCCCAATTTTTAAATTTCAAATTTTATATTAGGGTTGAACATGGATTTTCAATCGTAAAGTTTGCGATACCAAAACTATATCTTCTAGTAAAATTTAGAAGAGCACAAATAGTAAAAGGTGAGCACCTTATACAAGCCTCACCCTAAAATGAATGATAATACATTATAGTCCACTTGACCGCCATGGATTTCAACATTATCCTGGCAGCTATTTGGAGAAGATAATAATAAGAAACATACAAATAATATGATTTACTTTTGATACAAGAAACTACGCAAATCAATAATTTTAGCCTATGAGTGCGATATGACAGCTCGGAGTATTCCATTGATCGGGTTTAGAATCAAAAAGGAATTTTTTTAAACTATGTCACACCCTGAAGCTATATATTGATCGGCCTCAAAGTCAAGGAAATTTTTTTAACTCTGTCATACACCTATCATATTGATATCTGACTTCTATGAGTGATCATGATGTTGCACTACAGGTAAATAGTGTTATAATATACAATCCTATGATCATAACACATATGGGGAAGACAAAATGGTCTTATAGTGTATAATCCCAAACAATAATACACATGGTAAAAAATATTGTAGGCCGCCTGGCATAACAACATAGGTTTGCCCACCTAGATTCAATCTTAATAGACAAAGTAACTTGTGTGTGCAAATACTGTCTATTTTTCAAGTTTCCTCTATAAATCCAATTGACCTTAAATTTTAGATATAATATGCTCAACCCAAAGAGTAAAAAGTTTAAAATCAACAATAACTAAAGGAAAAGTATAAAATGAAACCATTTATCTTTAGTATAAGGTGGTCGCAATTAATCTTGACCATTGGATGTAAAATTAGATGGCTACATTTATTCTATTGTCCAACCTCAAACTTCAAAAGAATTTTTCTCGAACTTTGTAACACACTTAATGTATCAGATTTCAAATCGAATGGTTGTAAGTAATTGTGACTTCTTTGTATTAAAGACAAATGGTCTCTTTGTATACAATCATATAACTAAAGTACGCCCGCAATACATATTGGTCGTCAAATGCTTCAGTTTACGCATCTGGCCTATCAATTTTCTTTCGTTCTTTTTTTTGGCATAGGTAAGAAATTTTATTGCTTATTAAAAAAATACAAGCTAAAAGGACGATCAAATAAAAAAGAGAAATAAGGCAGACTCTTAGTCACCAAAAGAAGCTGTTTCATACATCCTCCTTAGTAAGAGAGGGAAGACACAGGTGAAATTTTATTTATCTCAAAGGTTGACCATTTTGAATAAATCTCATCATTCATTTTCTTTTAAATTTGACGAATTTTTAGTTTGGAAAAGGTATACCTTTGCCCAAAGCAAAAATAGGATTTTGGACTCTGCCATCTTTATAGGAATCTCCAAGATTAAAACACTGAGGGGCCGTTTGGATACCTGGAAATATATTGTCTGTGAAATATATTACTAGTATAATACATTACTGCGTAAATACATTACCTGCAAATTGATTGTCATTGTTTGGCTAGTATTTAGATGCAAATTGGAAAATACATTTTTAGTGTTTGGCTATCTCTCAAATAAATATGGGAAATGCATTACCAACCAAATATGAAAAATATAGCTCTGTTTAGCTAACATGATTAAACTTTGCTTTCAACATGATAAGTCATTGGAATAATATGATTGGAATAACATGATTTTATTGTGATAAGTCTTATTTTTATTTATTTTTTTATAGAAGTCTGAAAGAAATACCTATGTGATCTTTTATTGGGAAATAATAATTTTTTTAAAAAAAATTTATTTCACCCCTTTCTTTTTGGCAAAATATCACTTACAGGCGGTCTTTATTACAACAAGATAAATTTCGAAATAAATTCAACATAACCATAAAACCAAGATCTTAACAACTTGATGTCATTGAAACAACTATGTACGATGCTTGAAAATAAAAGATAAGATTGCAAGAAACAAAAGGAAAAGCGCCGGAGATTACCTCAATCGGGCTTATTACACCCCATACCGAGTCACCACCATTCGATAGCGCGGGATCAACGGTCTAGCTTCAATCTTGAACTCAGGAAAGCAACTTTCGGCGACGTTACACCAATGGAACATAAACCCCTTTGATCACAAACCCAAACCCTATGTGAATTCCCTTAGCAACCTAGTTTGAGAGAAGTGGATTCTCTTTTTGCTAAACCCTAAAACCCTTAGCCATAAATCCATATTTGAGAGATAATTGAAAGAAGAACTACATAACCTAAACCCTTAAGTTCTTTCATAATGTGGGAGAGAGAGATCAAACATAATAGAGAGAAACTTTCTTAAGAGAGAGATAGAAAGATAAGGTGTAAAGATTGTTGGGTAGAGACAATCCATTTGTATAGGCTTTGAACAA